GATAACTGAGATAACTGAGATAAAAACGCCTGTGTTTATTGTAATAATATAAATATATAATATAGTTAACTTAAGTTACTTATATGTTTTAGGATCAATAATAAAACTCAGATAAAAGTTTGTTGATGAAATTGATGAAATACGATTATCTCTGTTTAAAATTTCTATTTTGTGATTTTATAAAATTTATACTGTTTTTGTTCTGTTCTTATTTTATCTTAATATTCTACTTTTTCTTAATCTTTTATATTGTTCTCAAAAGTATCTTCTAATATTTGCTCTCGTTTAATCCCGTCGTTTAACTTGCTTATTACTGTAGTATCCTCTTTTTATGAATACTATGATCTTCTAGTAATGACGCAATTTTATCGATCGTAGAACTAATTGCTTGTGGAGATAACTCTATTGTTATATCCATATCCGTCGTGTTACCTTTTTCAATTGATTCCCCTTTGGCCTTTACTGATACTTTATGCCGTTATCTATTTCTTTATTTGCATCGCAAAATCGTTTATTTGGACGTTTTCTTTATTTTTTGACCTCTCTTAATTGTACCACAAATTTAAATACTGATTGTTTGTATAAAATTTCTCTACTCGTATTAATACCTTTTTAATTTTCTAACCATCTACTAATCTTTTGATTTTGTTGAACTTATAATGTACCCTTAATAATTGGGTCGTATATGATGATCTACTACGTTACCGAAGAACATTAGCTTTTATTATACAAGAGTGAATGAGTGATGGTCAGTCATGTGTCATTCAATATTAAATGCGTCATTTAAAATTACAACACACGGGTACCGAACTTTTCGCCGAAGTACCGTTTCGCCGAAATGCCGTTTCCCTGAATGGATATTTTACCGAATGGCTATTTGACGAAGGACATTTCGGCGAATCCATTTCGCCGAAGGGCATTTTGTCGAAGATATGGAACTTTTTAATTTTTCTTTTCCTTTTTTAAAGAAGACAAACGAATTATTTACACATTATATTAAGTTGCGATTTGTCTATTTTTTTTAATTAAAGGAAAATTGGTTTTATTTGACAAATTCATCGTACTCATCAATTTTCCGAACAAATGAAAATAAAATGGTTTAAAGAAAATTATTTCTTTGAACATTTTTTATTTCTTTTGTATCGAATCGTCAATGATTAAGGAAATATCATGTTAATCAACAACATTTTCGGCGAAATGAAATGGACGATTTGGGAGAAATGATTCTGCGAAATGTCCATTCGACGAAAAAGACTTCGGTAAAACATACCGTAACGGCGTAACCCACCACATGATATTATATAATCATTTAAAAAAATATTAATTTTTGCAAAGTTATCAAAATTATTATGGTTACATACAGCACGATTTTATGAATGGCATTTTCCCGAATATACCTTTTCCTGAAGTTAATTACCTGAATGCCAACTTTCCGAATTGGACATTTTCCTATTCCCGAATCCCATCCAATTTTTTGAAATCCAATTTCCTGCTAATATCCTGAATTCCAATATCCCGAATGAATTTGCATGAATTGCTGTTTTTAAATTTTGTTAATTAAAGTTTATACAAAAATGCATTCACAAAAGAAACGTGGAATGAACAGTTATCATTCAACTAGAATGTCTCGATAAAATTTGGGAAGAAAAGTGATGTAATCATCTGAACAAAAAAAAAACATATCGATATGTCAAAGAAAATTGATCATAACTGAAAAATTATACTGACCGAGAAATTTTTCTCGCGAAATACAACCTTTGATAACGAATAAAATATTTGTATTGTATAGCGAAATTAGTCAAATCCTGGTTGGTGGTTTTGTAATAATAATTTTTCTTTTTTCTATATGATTTATTAATTACCATGTAATACAGTAAATTTTAAAAAAAATACATTTTATTGTTATGTGTTTCAGTCACTTTCAGGAATTGTCCATTCCGGATATCGGGATTCAGGATATTGATATTGGGATTCAAGATTCAGGAAATTGAACTTTAAGAAATTGGAATTCGAGAAACAGGGATTCAGGAAATTGAGTGGTTCAGGGTAATCAACTATAGGAAAAGGTATATTCAGGAAAATGGTGTTCGGGAAATGGTAGACAAGGAATTATTATATATTAATAAAAAATATAAATAAAATAAATTTTTTGAAAATAAACTTTATAGCTTTGATTTGTTTTTATTATTATTGTATCATAAACAATAAAAAATTAAAAAAGAATGATGTGTCAGGATAATGAGTAACAGGACAATGGGATATGATTTGTCAGGATAGTTAAACGACGGGTTCGGGATTCTGATCGGCAAGATTTTGTCCCTATCAGCTATTCTCAAAATAAAGATAAGTTAAAAAAAACTCCGCATTTGTATATAATTAGTATATTATTTTGCATTGTATTTTATTATTTGGTAGTGTTATTTATTAGTCAGCAAAATAAATATCATAATTGCATTAATTAGACTATTCGATATTAATATTTAATCGTTTCAATTATAGATTCCGCGAGGAGGCCAGGAGGGAATAATTGGCAAATGTTTATTCGTTGGATTTAATTTTAGCTAGTATCATTTTGATTAATAAAATGTTAAGAATCTTTTTTTATACAGGACTTAGATTTTCTTAAAGATAAATGGACATTTCATTTAAAAAAAAAAAAGACTATCGGAAACATTTTTATTACTAAAAAATTCTTTAAAAATATACTAACTTTCTTATTCTTAGAAATATGAACTTTCTTGAACTAATGAGCAGTTGAGGGAGAAGATGAGACCTTCAGGTATCGATATCGCATGACCAACAAGTTGGACTAAAGCACGTGATATTGGACCTTCCAAGTCACTGTGCCGCAAAAATTACCTTCCTTGCGTTATTTTTTTGACTCACATACTGTATACTGTATTACATATAGGAGGGTCAAAAAAGGATGTCGTACAGGGTCAAAAAGATAATTTTTGCCAGTGTCCTTGAAGTTTCATTAAATCGCATGCACTTATCCCATCTAGACATTATTATAACCATTTTGTTCAGTTCCACAAAAATTTCTTCATACATTTTAGGCGATAACTCGAAAAAGCTATCCTTTTTATAAAGGAAAAGACTTCGATCAGCAAACAAATTTCTGTTACTATGAAATTGGGTACCGGTCAGGATATGAAGTACAAATACGGGTAAGCGTGTACATTATGTTATACGAAGAATGATATTACGTAATGAATACCCACACTTACCAGTTACCCTACTCTTTACTCTTTAGATGATTATATTCTTTTCATAATTTACTTTTTTAAAAACATAAAACCTTCATTTTTCAAACCAAATCAGTTAATTTTTTTAAACATTGATGCCTGCAATTATTTATCCGCACTGTCTAAATAAAAAATGCAGGAGTTATTTTAAAAGTATCAACTTATTCTGATGTTTCAAAGTGGTTTATTGTAAGAAATAAATTTTATTATAATGTATCGATAAATCAAAATATTTGTAAGAACATAAGTGAAATCATCTGCATTAATAGGAATGGAGATACAATATATCCGTATAATCCGTATAATTATGTTAATTGTTAATCATAATCCACTACTGCACTGATAATAAAATTATATTCCAAATTACTCATACGAAAATATATTATTTATATTATTTGTAAAGAAATAATAACACTCAATCTTTTTTTATATATTACACGAAAAAGAAATCTAAAAATAAATATTAAATATTTATTTATAGTGATCGTATAAAGAATTTTTACTTGTATTTTACCGGATAATTATATGACTTAAAGAAGTATTCACATGATATGACGAAAAAAAATTCCCGAACCTTTCATAATTATCATATTTTTACTGCTAAAATTATTTTTAGTTAGTTTAGAATTACTACGCCACGATTTTTTGTAAATCATTTTTTAATAATATAAATAAAATAATATTATGAATAATCATTGGTTAATAAATTATTCTTGTGCATATGTAATTAAACTAGCATGCGTTTTAGGAATTTTCATTTTCCATTTTTTTTCAATTTTTATATGTTATTCATTATATGTATCGTTTGTTTATTTTCAATCATAACATTCACAACTTGTAAATGACAACATTGACAAAGGTCTTTACGAAAGAATTATGAATTAATAATATTTATAATTTCTTTATTTTTTTATTTTTTTTATTTTTTTTTTGTTACCATAAAGTCCATGCGATTACCACAAATTTTTGTAAATCTTTACACCATTTTCTATTCGTTATGAAATATTACATTTTTGAAAATTTTTAACCAATAATAATTTATCGATCGATTATGTCATTTAGGATATAAAATTTCGTACCAGCTTTACCTAAACAAGGTAAATTAGAAAATTGTTGTTCCGCCCTAAGTTTAACAAAGCGAAAAATTATAATTGTTTGTATATTTAATTGATGTACACTTTTTTTTTTTGCGATGCAGAAATGTATTCAAATTATTGTGATACCATACGTTTCATCTTAGATATACTGTTTATAAAGTATAAAATTAATTTTTATCTAACTTTACCGCAATTTTTCACTCTCATTCCTTTTCTCTAATTCGAAACGAAAAAAAAAATCGTCCATATTTTTTTGGACTCCCTCCTTTACCGTGGCTTTAATATAGGAAATTTATTATAATTTCCTTTGTCAATCTTTTATTTTCAATATTGATTATTGTTTAAAGTTATCATCCGTTATTTCCCTCTTGTGGGTGTAATGGGTATTCACTCACAAAACGATGAAATACCGGTAGAAATTATAAACCGGAATTTATTATTTAACAAGAGAAATTTGTATTATAATAAAGGTAAACCTTCGTATAAAAAAAGGGAGAAATATTGTAAAAAAAAATTATCATTATCAGATTTCATAAAATGTTCCCTTTCTAAGGCCGAGAAAGCCAAGAAGAAGGCTAGAGAAGAAAAAGCTAGGGAAGATAGAAAAAAAAAACTTAAGAAAGAAAGAGAAGAGAAAGCTAAGAAAGAAAGAGAAGAAAAAGCTAAGAAAGAAAGAGAAGAAAAAGCTAAGAAGGCTAGAGAAGAGAAAGCTAAGAAAGATAGAGAAGAAAAAGCCAAGAAGGCTAGAGAAGAGAAAGCTAAGAAAGATAGAGAGAAGAATAAGAATAAAAATAAGGACAAAGTTGGTGATGATGATAATAATAATGATAACAATAATAACGATAATAACAATAATAACAATAATAACAATGATAACAATGATAACAATGATGGCAATAATGGCAATAATGGCAATGGTGGCAATGATGGTAATGTCCCTCCTCCAAATCAAACGGGAGCTCCCGAATTAACAAATACTCCAACAAATCCAAACCAAATGACTCCTGCTGCTACTTTTGCTCCTACAAATACGTATATGTCAAACGCGTCTTCATTACCTTCCGAAGATGGTAGACAAAAATTATCAATCGCAGGTATTTCGGTGATTTCCATGATTCTTGTTGGAGTGATTGTTTTGATTATACTTGCCGTTTACCGAAGGAGGAATAGTATGCGAAGAGGTGCTGTGCGCCTTTATGATGAACCGGGTCAAAATGATTCTTCAGTAATACCAAGATATCTTAGTATGAGGTCATTACGCATTCCAAGCATGCCCCCAAAAGTTCAATTAACTAGACTTTCTTCAGCTACGATTCTTCTTCCTTATAGAGAGAATAACCCATCCCCATTAAATAATAATACCAATAATCCAGCTCCATCATTCAATAATCTTAATAATAATTATCTGTCTCCATATACAAAAGTTCATAATTTATCGAGTCCTAATTCTTCGTCTTCTGGTAGTTTAAGTGTTAATGTTAATAATAATCTTGAACAAAATAGCCAAAAAACTGATTCGGTGCAATCATATTCTTCTTTAGAAAGTTCTTTTCCGATTCCACCTCAAAGAGCTGTTAATGATAATTATAATACTACTCCAACAAGTGCTACTTTTGGAGATATGTATAAATTAAAAAAATAGGTTAATTGTTAATAAACATTTTAGACAGGAACTTATTTATTTATACGCTGCAAAACAATAAAAAGAATAATTCCTAATAATTTTTTTTTTACTTTTTCTTGTTGTATTTTAGTCATCTTTTTCTTTTAATCGACATACTTTTCACAACGTTCCTTCCAAATCATAATATAAATACATAGTTATTTATTTATTATTATTATTTTTTTTTTTTGTATAAAGAAATTTATTTACATATTGACTATGTTTTTGTGATATTTCTTTTTTTTTTAAAAAAAACAGTAAAATGTTAATAAAAATGATTTTGTTTGTATAAAAGTTAGTTTTTAAACCGATCTTCAATTGTAAAATGATTTTCTTAAAAAAGAACTTATACTGCGGGACTATTTAATATTTAATTATATTAAAAAAAAGAGATTCTAACTTTAATAATGTCAAAATCTACATTGTTATATTGTATGTACGTTTAAAATGTCAATAACATTTGACAAATTTCACATCACAATTAACCCTTAAATCAACAATAAGTCACGTGATTATACAATATTCGAGGCTTTTTTGCTAATAAAAAAAAACATAGTCTGTTGATATTTAAGTCACATGCTCAAACTTTTGTTCATGTACATCTGGTATGGCTTATTAGAGGCTAAGCCATACCATATTTTTATAAATATTAATAAATTATGTAAATTTGTTTTTATTATTTAATTTAACTAATTAATGGATTTGAAATATTTTGAAATTTTATTTTTTTGAAATACGCGGAGTTAAAAAAATGAAACGTAAAAAAAATGTAATTTAATATTTACCTAAAAATGAATAAAAAAAAAATAATTATTTACCTTAACAGTTAATTAATATGTTTTTGATTGGTATGATTGTCTATTTTTAGTAATATATACATACGCCTACGGGTTCGTTTTTTTTTTTAAGGGTATTTNTACATTGGACCATTAAAAAACTTCAAAAAAAAAAAGGTTCAAATGAAAAAATTATATTTAATTTAAAAAAAAAACAATCCTTTTAAAAGATAAAGTAGAAATTATATATTTATTTATTTTCATTCTTACTTAAATAAACCTTTTTTTTTTATAAAAAAAACAAATAACTTTAATATTAGGTTGACCTATTAGATTTGCATTTATCTCTTGGACTGCCAAGAACATAGTATATTAACGGAGATTGTTTTTTACATGTACAATAATTTGCAAATAACTTATGGGCAACCCCCTTCTTCACAACCACAGATAGTTGCTGGTGCAACATCGGGAAGTGAAGGTGGAGGTCCTAATATACCTAACGGTAAGATTAACAAAAAATATAGAATATTAATTATTCTTTTATTACTTTTATTACGTTCTATACGTTCTATCTGAACAATGTCACGTACTAATATATATATTTTTTTACTAATTCGATAGTTCGCCTTTCATTCATTACCGCGCCGGATCAAACAACATTTGAGAAATTATATGTACAAGGTTGTGTAGGTGGGAAGTATTTAACAGGTAAAAAAAAAGGAATTTAATATAAATTATTTTTTTTTTTTGGATAAAGAGCCCATGATCTGTTTGATTTATTTATTATGTATCATTTAGGTGAAGGCGCAAAAGAAATCCTTGTAAAATCAAAATTAAGTGCCGAAACACTTGCTCAAATATGGTTTGTTTATTATTTGATCTATTTTTCTATTTTTATTTTTTTTTTTTAGAAAAAAAAATTTCTTATTTGTTAATTTATCTTTTTTTACTTTACTTTATTTTATTATTATAATTGTTGTTTAGGAAATTATCTAACCTTACAAAGAATAATTATCTTACTTTTCCAGAATTTGCTCTTGCTATGTATTTAACTAATTTAAAACTCAAAAAACAAGATTTACCTAATACAATACCTGATAATATTCGTAATGAAGTAATGGGTGTTATTGAACAAATTAGAGTTATTGAGCAAGAACTTCAAAAGCTACATCAAAAACAACAGTTGCAACAACAAGCACCACAAATTCAAAGGACCATAAGTCCTTCTCATAATCAAATGATGTCACATCCACAACAGCAACAATATACAGGGATGCAAGTGGGCCCTAATATAGTTCAATATTCTTCAAATCCATCAGGTATTCAAAATAGTTCCATGATTTCCGGTATGATGCCTAGTATGATGCCTTTTACGCAACGTATGTTGCCACAACAAAATCCTCCACAACAGTATAGTACAACTGGAATAGTAGGAAATGCAGAAATTCCTTGGGCTGTAACACCCGAAGAAAAAATACAATATAGAGAAATATTTAGACAATGGGATTCACAAGGATTTGGATATTTAACAGGTAAATTACATTATTAAAAGAAATATTTTTATTTATCACCACTTAACGAAAAATTTTTTGTTTTAATAGGTGAAAAGGCTAAAGAAATTCTGTCGCAATCTGGACTACCTCAAAGTGATTTAATGCAAATCTGGTGAGCATATGATGAAATTTTTTTTTTCGCACCTTCCCAAAAAAAATAATGTGTATATTTATTAATAACTAAAAGTATTTTATATTATAAGGGAATTGTCTGATCCTAATAATAACGGAAAATTAAACCAGGATGAGTTTGCTGTTGCTATGCATTTGATTTATAGAAAATTAAATGGATATGATGTACCTACTACACTTCCTCCTGAGCTTGTTCCTCCTTCTTCAAGAGAATTATCAGAAAGTGTAAATATGATTAAGAATATGCTCAAATCTGATTCAATCCATAATTCAAGTATTGGATTAGGTACACACACTTCAGGTGCTAATTATGCGAAATCAAGAAGTTTTAATGCTACACCTACAATTAACAGAAATGATGCAACGGGATACAAACATACGGATGATGAAAATGTATACGTTTCATCTTCAAGGTATCGAGTTCCTTCTGTACCCCGTAGCCAGAATACTTCATCTTATTCTTCTTTGTCAAAATCATCATCAATATCATCCGTATCTGAAAATATTGGTGAAGATAGGTCTTCAAAAATTTCAGAATTAAAAAAGCAAATTCATGAAAAACAAATTATGTTGGAAGCTTATTCATATACTGCTGATACGGCACCAATCTCATATAATAGTTCTTATTCAAGTGATGATGTCTACGAATTGAAAAATAAGATTAAAAATATTCAGAGAGAGATTAATGAAAAAGAACGTTCAAATCCTGAATGGCTTAATAGAGAATTTACTCGAAATTCTGAAGAATTAGGTTCTTTACTTGAGCAACACAAAAATTTAGATGATGAATTGAATAATATGCTTGTAACTATCGTTCCTGAATTAATTAGTAAGATTCGTGAAACGAGTAATAAAATTCCTGATTCTAAATTAGAACTTTTTAAATTAAGAGAAGGTAGTGGCGGAGGATCTGATTTGAACATTATTGGTACTGGTCCTGGAGGGGAAATCACGGAATCTGATAGAATTAAAGCGAAAGCACAAGCTATGATTCAAGCTCGTATGGCTGCGATTACTGGTAAATCAGTAAATTTTGGTGGTGGTGGTAGTAGTAGTAGTATAAATCCTAGATTACTTGAAGAAGAAACTGATAGAATTAATTCTGAAAAAGCCGAACGAGAATTCAAAGTAGCAGAAATTGAAAGAAGTATCTCAAAATTACAAGATTCTGTGATAAAAGCTTCAAGGGAAAGGGAAGAAATTGAAGATAAATATCGTAAGATTGAACGTAATAAAAGAGATCGGGAAAGTGAAATGCGAAAATGGGAGGATGGTATTGGTGTAGATGATGATGTTAGCAGGTTTATTCAAGATCTTAAAAGGGATAGTTCATCATCATCTCGTTATGATTATAATAGTGATACTTATTCTTCATCCCGTGATGTTTCATATAATAGAAGATCTTCCACTTCATCTACATCTAGTTCGGTTTATACTTCTGTAAGTAATACAACTAATACACCACCTAGTTCATTATCTAAGTCTAAATCACCTGAAGAACGTGAAGCTTTTATTAAAGCGGAAGCTGAACGTAGGATGCAAGAAAAATTGAAAGCTTTGGGTGTTAAGAAGACAAGTTATTCGAAATCAAGCCCATCATCAGATCCTGATTCGCCTACTATATCAGACCGTTTAGCGCGTGAAAAAGCTGAGGCGGCTGAAAGAAAAGCTCGTGCAGAACGTGAAGCAGAGGAACGTGAACGTATAAGGACCGAAAGGCTTTTAGCTGAGAAACAAAAGAAAGCAGAGCAAGACGCTGAAAAATTACGTAAAATGGAAGAATTTGAGAAAAAAGAAGAAGAAAGAAGAAATCAATGGTTAGCGGAAGCAAAAGAACTTGAAAAAGCTAAAGACAGAAAGGCTCGTGAAAAAGAAGCAGCTATGCGTGAAAAAGAATTAGAATTAGAACGTAAAAGGGTTGAAGCAGCTGAGAAAGAGAAGAAACTTGAAGAAGAAAGGTCGGCACGTATTAAGAGAGAAGAAGAGGAACGTGCTGCAGAAGAAGAACGTAGAAGGATAGAACAAGAAGCATTAGTAGAAAATGCTAAAGCGGCCAGAGAAAAAGCAAAAAAAATGGAGGAAGAGGCTAAACAACGTGAAGAAACTGCTAAACGTGAAGCAGAGAGAATAAAGACTAAAAGGGAAGATTCCACGTTTTCAGTTAAATCTTTTGATAGTGGCTCACAAACACCAACATTCGTAGATTCTTCTAGCAATAATCCATTTTTGAACTTAAGCTCTCAAGAACGAAAGGTGGTGGATGCCAATGAGAATGATACTATAGAGAGTACTAATCCGTTCTTTAAGTTCACTTCTGGCGCTGCTGCTCAATCTAACGTACAATCATCACAAAATGATAAACAAGATGATGATGATGATTGGAATGTTGTTAATAATGAAGAAAGTAGTGATGATGAATTTCCTCCAGGGAATACTAAGCAACTTGCATCTAAATTATTTGGTTCTGGTTATTCATTCGAACCTCCAAATTTTGAATCAGTTAAAACTACTCCACCCCAATCAAATTCTACCCCACCTCCTTCAAAAGTACCTACGTCTAATGTAACTGCAAAATCAAATTCTATCCCAATACCGCCACCGCTTCCCTCTAATTCAAACTCTATTCCAGTACCGCCACCACTTCCTAATTCGAATGATGTCCCAATACCACCACCACTTCCTAATTCTAATGATATCCCAATACCACCACCACTTCCTAATTCTAATGATGTCCCAATACCACCGCCGCTTCCTAATTCTAATGATGTCCCAATACCACCGCCGCTTCCTTCTAATTCAAGTGTGCCACCTGCGCCACCATTACCTACTACTTCGACTGTTCCACCGCCACCACCGCAACCGCAACAGCCATTATCTTCCGGCAACAAATCGCAATCATTACCACTACCTTCTGGTTCACGAAACGCTTTATTAAGCCAAATTCAACAAGGAGCAAAATTAAAGCCTACGAAGACCAATGATCGTTCTTCACCCTTAGTTGGAGGTAATTATCAATGTCGTTAATTATATCAACATAATACATACATTCGGTATTAATATTAATTTTTTTTTTTCCTACTACCATTACATTAGGTAAAACTAATGATTCTAATTCTTCTACACAAAATTCTTCCGGTGGTGTATCTCAACCAGCTGCTGGTATGGGTGGATTATCTGGACTTGGTGCCTTGTTCGCGGGTGGAGTTCCTAAATTAAAGAATCGTGGAGGAGTTGAAACTGGGAGTTCTCCCACTGAGAATGTTGCCTCTAAATCCTCCCCTCCTACCCGTCAAAAAACCATGGGAAGAAGAGTATCTACGGATTGGTTTGGTAATTTATCATCGGATCAACTTGCAGGTGAAGAAACTCCAAAACCACAATCTATTAAAACCGAAACTCCTGTAAACGAAGGAAATAACATTTTGGGGCAGAGTGTTACATCTCCTACTTCAATATCGACGGATAATGATATTGACTATTCACAAGAATTTCGTGTCAAATCTTTATTTAATTATCCTGGAACTGGTGGAGCCGATGATCTTAAATTTGATGCCGGAATTGTTTTCGTGGCTCATCCATCTAAGAATCCAAATAATGCAGAATGGTGGCATGGTTCAATTGAAGAAACCGGTTCAAAAGGATGGTTTCCAAAGAATTTTGTTGAAATTTATAAAGAAGGTAATTATTTGATTTTTTTTTTTTCATTTATATCGTAACATCATCTTCATTAATTGTTAAATTAATTTAAACCAAAATAATAGAAAAAGAGATTTGCAAAGCCAAAGCATTATACGATTATAAAGCTCAAAACTCTACGGAACTTGATATTAAATCCGGTAACATTGTTTCCATTCTCGACAAATCTTTGAATGATTGGTGGAAAGCAGAGTTTGAAGGCTCTAAAGGATATGTACCTGCGAATTATGTCGAAGAAATTACTAGTAGTAGCGGTTAGTGTTTGACTTTAATGTAAATTATGTTCAATTTTTTTTTATTAAGTAGTGGAATGTATGTGTTTTTATTACTTCCCATTACATATTTAATTATAAATTTCAAGAAAAAAATTTTTAGAGGCTTTATGCGATATATATATGTTAAATAAAATCCAATGTAATACTATAATTTATTTTATTTTGTCGTGCCTTGATAAATAATGAAAATATTCTTTTACGTTTTTTATTTTCTTTATTATCATTTTTCTTAATTTATTTCGCATATGACGGCTTACAACATAGTCCTTAACAAAACGAGTACAGATGAATCAAATGAGTCAGATGGAAGTGAAGATAAAACGGATGAAGATAATTCCAGTCAGGATGAATCCAGTAAAGATGGATCCATTTCTAAATATCATAATATCACAGAGATTGACAATAATACTACGCAAGAAAATCTTATTGAATCTTCATCTAAAAAAATTACAAAGATTTTACCAATTGATATTCCAAAAGTCAATATTCAAGGTGTAAATTCACCGACTACAAGTTCATTTAAAAGACCAACACTTAAGGTTAATATTAATACATTAACCCCTGGTAAATTAACTAGAAAACCGAGTCTTGAAGTTGCTAGAAGTCCGAGTCCTACAAGATTATTTGGAGCAAGTCCAATTATGTCTATTCCTTGGATGCAATTGGGTGATCCTCATAAAGATCACGATAATACACATCTGGGAGTATCTCCGCCTAATCATTCACAAATTGCTTCGAGACCGGAGAGTCCTGTGTCACCCGGACAAGTATGCAAAACATTCTTCATTGTATTTTTGTGAAAATATTAATTATATCCTAAAATACGACTTTACTTATTATATATTTAAATTTTTTTTTAAGGGACCTTCTGTTGTATCATGGACAAGTATTATGGATCCTGAAACGATTAAAGGTATAACAAAAGAAGATCGTAAAAGACAAGAAGCTATTTTTGAATTAATATCAACTGAGCAAAGTTATCTTCGAGATCTTCAAATGATCATTGAAGTATTTTATGGACCTTTACAAAATATTTTAATTGAAGACGAATTAAAAATAATATTCTCAAATATTGAGGATATATTACTCTGTAATACGGCTATATTAAGTGATTTAGAGCAAAGACAAAAAGATGATAAGTTATTCGTTAAAAACGTTGGAGATATACTTTTAAAGCATTCAGATGATTTAGTGTGTTATGAAATATATTGTGGTAAACAATTAAATGCAAGTAAATTTTTACAAAATAAACGTAATGTAAATAAAACATTTTCGGAATTTCTTAAGGTAAAATTTTTTTTTTTTTTTTTTTTTTACGAATATAACAATAATATTATGATTATGTAATCATCAATGACTATTGTTTGTTACTAAATATGGTTAATTAATATATTATAGAAAGCCCAACAGGATCCACAATGCGGATCATTAGATTTATCAAGCTTTTTATTAAAACCTATGCAGAGAATAACAAGATATCCCTTACTTATACGACAGGTATCAAAATTTGTATGTTTTCCTTTCATTACGAATTTTTCCATTAAATTGATTTTTTTTTTGTCCTTTATTTTTTAGATATTACATTATACGAATAAAAATGATTCAGATCAAGAGGATTTGATGAAAGCTTTACATAAAGCTGAAACTATTTTGGAGTCTACCAATGAGGCAGCACGTGAACAAGAAAATAAACTTAAATTAACAGAAATCTCAAAATTAGTGGATCTTGAAGATCTAGAAGAGGTGAGAATAATTATTATCTTATATTCTTTTTTTTAATAAATTGATAACTAATTAAATTTATTTATTTTTATAAAGAAATTGGATTTAACGAGTACAACTCGATCCGTTGGAAAAAGACAATTTATTCTTGAAGGAGCACTTAAAAAAGCAAAGAGTGGTAGAAATTTATATGGTTATTTATTTAATGATTTATTATTACTTACGCAACATAATAAAAAATCAGTTGCAAAAGGATATCAATATGCATTATATAAACCGGTAAGATCATATAAATTTTAATTATTATTATTATTCTTATCCTTATTCTATATATAATTATTATTAATTTATGAATTTTTCTTTTTTTTTTTTTGTTATAGCCAATACTATTGAATGAAATAGTTGTAAAAAGAGGTCAAGGTTCGTATTTTTATGGAAATTCCATTCTTTCTACTTGATATTCTTTTTAATAATCTTTGGATTTTATGGATTTTGTAGATGAAACATTTCAGATTCTTCATATCGGGGATGTTATCAATCTGAAAGCAATTAGTATTTCTGCAAAACAGCAGTGGGTCAATCAACTAGAAACTGCAAATGGATATTGTCTAGAAGTTGAAAATCAAAAACGAAAAAAAGGCACGTATTAAATATTGATATTTGTAATTTAACATAAATTATTTATTAATTATTATTTTGATCTTAATATATAACAGAAAATTTGACACCAATTAACAGTATTGGTACTTTAAAAGTAACAGTATATGAAGCTGTAATACCAATTGATGCAAATGGTTAGTTTTTAAGTGTTTTGATTTTTGTATTCTTATTAATTGTAAAATTTAATTTTCGTAAAACTTTTATTTTCTATGATAAAGAAAAAAATAGCGTGAATACATATTGTCAAGTACAATTAAATAGACAAATCTTCAAAACAAAAAACGTAAAAGCTGATATATTTCCTCATTGGAATCAGGTATTTAATAAAATTTTATAAAAGAATGTTTACAAAATTATTAAAATTTATTATATAAATAATTTAATTTTTTAAAAAAAAAAAAAATTTATATTTCTGTAGTATTTAATGTTTTCTGTTACAACTTTGGAAGATACGTTAAAATTATCAGTATATCAATATGATAAGTATTCAGAAGATGGTAAGTAATTAAAATTAAATTATTATTATTTAATTTATAATTGAATGTTATTATATTCAACTTTATGAATTTATTATTATTATTATTATTATTATTATTTTATTTTTAATATAGAATACTTGGGTAAAGCTGAAATAAAATTACATTTTCTTGAGCATTATGCAGGAAATGAAACCGATAAAATTAAATTACAATTACAAGAAGTTGAACCGGGAAGACCATTCGGATCTATATCTGTATATTTAAATTATAAACCATTTTAATATTTAATTAATTAATTCATTTATTTAAATTAATTTATTATTATTATAAAATATATCATCATTATTATTTATTATTATTGCATAATTCTTTTCATTTTTGTTTTTTGTTGTTATTTATTTATTATGTTATTATTATAAATAGTTAATTATTGTAATTGTAGTTAGTAAAAATTTTTTTTTTTTATTTTATAGTTTAATTTAACTATTCATAAATCTGATTAATTAATTTTTATAATAAATAATCATTGTCTCTACATAATCATGCTTTTATATGATACTAGAATTTCTAATTTTTTATGGAAAGAGTATTGGGAAAATAGTCAGGTGATAATATGCTGAAACAACTTGTGCCAAACTGTTAATCGGGCGCGTGTCCAATGAACACGTGATTTACATACAAAAAAACGATAAATACGTCTCTTTTATTCCTTAACCAGTGAGCTCTTTACCGTGAAATAGATTGATGAACTGATGATCGAATATGTAAATAAGCAAAAGTCACTTTCAATTGCATTTCATTTTGATCCTAAATTAAAATTGTTAGATCATATATATCTTCAAGTTCTAATTTCTTCGAGGATTGAGTCAATTAGTACAGATGTTCATAAGTAAAGCAAGTTAGATTAAATTAGCTTAAGAATCAATATATATAAAGAAATTCAACCAGAATAAATTTATTATAGTATTGTGATCGATTTCTTTAATCATAAGCCATAACTCGAATAGAAAAACAATTACACAAGTTGGCATAATAATATCTTGCATCTGTCATAATGAGCCTATTATAATTAGTTCATTCCATCCAAATGGCGGCTTCAATGTGATAAAGAATTTTATACAAGTTATCTTCCAGGTCTTATGAGCAATACATGTGAATCTTGCGCTCATCTAACTCAAAAAAATAAATAAACGAAAATGATCTTTATTTTATTTAAATATTAAATTAACATTTACACAAGTTTGAATATAAGCTGGATTTCATATTCTGTTTTTACCACGATATCGGATTTTATTTATATAATATCCAAAGATTATTCGAGGAAATAAAGTCAAACTGATCGGAATTTACATAAGATGGTGCACTTTTTTGAATGGGATGTTGGAAATAGAATGCATTTTATTATGGTAAATGAGTAATTTTATTAATATTTTTCTTATAATAAATATAAATATATAAAAATATAGAAGGAACAAGTCAAGTAAGCTATAATTTAAGGTACTAATATAAAAAATTCAATCAATTAAATCGTTTAAAACTTATTTTAATTGCAAAATTTTGCTAAATTTATATTATGTTGTAGTCTCAATTCGTGAAACCACTTATTGATCTTTTCATTCATTCCTAGTTCTTAAATTTTTTTGAGACGATTAAAGATATCAGTTTCCTGTAATTTTTACATTGGTATATCAGGTACAAAGGTGATTAATTCTGATCATTTATATGAATCTTGTAAAATTAATGTGCATGATTTTTACCGAACTTGGAATTGTCAATGAATTTAGCAAATACTTGTATAAAGGTAAGAAAATACTTAAATTATTATTCAATTATTAATTATTACCACATTTAAATTAGAATAATTTATTTTAGAAAGAAAAGTTATTTTGTTTCAAACCTTATAAACTTAAATAATAAACTTTGTCAATTTCAAGAAAGTGATATAAGCAGGTAAAGTTTATTCATTATAATACTTAAATTATCTTAAAATACATATTATGTAACCATAATTTTAAAATCAAAGCTTATCGGGGCTGGTAATGTCTTTATGCTAAAGAATACCAATTATGAGTTTTTGATGTTAAAAAAATATTATCTAAAAATTACTTTATATACTTTATATCTAACGGCGTAACTACGTAAGTTAATTATTTAAAATCTTTAATATTATTTTAATTATAGGATTATCATGAAGAGCATATGCTAAAATATGAAGATGGGTCAATGCTTGGGGGATTAGGTTGGATCGAACATCAGCTTCCAATATGTGCGCAGGAACTTCAACTTTCAATTAAAGTAAACTCTATTGATATGGTATATTTGCCATTTACTTATTATTTAAATTAATTTTCTTTCAGAATAAAATAAAGTTATAACGTTTACTCTCAAATTTATTATAGCAAATAGATTAAGTTCGATATAGACGTCCTAACGCAAACACATTAACTCACATTCCCAACATGAATTTAATGAGTTATTGGTTACCAGATTATCACAAAATTTGTTTCAGTAACTTTCAAAGACAAGATCACTGTTAAAAATTTACTATCTAACCTTGGGAGAATAAACAAATTTGTATGGTAAAGAATATTTCATAAAAATGTTACTTTATAGTAAGAGACAAAATATAATGTAAAACATTTATTTGAGAGTTAATAAGTGTTTAACCACTATACCTTCAACTTGATATCAATATCAATAACTTACATAACTTCAATAATTTATAACGTGTTTGCGGCACGGCAATTAAGTTTAAATTTTAAACAATTTGTTTATATTGAAAATAATTTACATAATAAATACAAATAATAAATGCAAAATAAAAAAAAATAATATCAAATAAATTTAATCTTGATCAATTATAGTTTATAATGAATAATCCTTGCCTCTATTCTATGCTTGATTCAAACAATCATGCTCCTACTCAATATTAGAAATTCAACCTTCTCATGGGAAAAAAATATTAGGTAAATTCTTAAAACAGGTGAAATAGATGTTAAAACAACTGGACAACTGGTGCGTCCTAATGATCACGTGATTTTACAATTATTAAACAAAGTATGAAAAGTTGAAAACACACATGTCAATTATTAAAAAATATATTGTTTTTTTAATGAAATCCCTTGCAATACATTTATTTTCAATTTTATAGCGTGATTTCAGTGCTTTAGTTTGGTATGGAATCACTCAAATAGTAATTTTTATTAAAAAAAACTTCAATATTCATAATTAATAATACTACTTTTATATGAATTACTGTTATTTTTTTTACTTTACAGCATATTTTTAAACGAAACAAGCCTCTGGAAGTTAATTTACACTTATTTGTAACTATTTCATTAAAAATAATGCCTAATTATTTGCTATTAAAATTGATTTTATTGTATTAAAGTGTAAAAGCACTAATTTTTAAATGTTACTATTTAAAAGTAATAAAATAATTCATGCATCTAACATTGCAATTTTAACAATCTATTTTAAGTCTATTTTATACGGTTTAAGTATTTTTTTTTCATTGATTTGCTTAACTAACTGCACATAGGTTTTTTGATACCTAAACCAAATAGATAATTGTTTTACGAAACACGTGATATTTTGGTGCGCTGTCAGCATAATAAAATTTACTATTGGAATATTTTTTATATTTGTCTATTAAACTATTTAATGAATTTTCTAATTTTCCGTTAAGATTGATATAATTCCCAACCTTACCGTAATAACTCTGGAATTTTTTCACTATTTTCTTTCAAAATTCTGCAAAAGTATCCCAAACAATTACATCTTTCATTGTAATAGAAAGCTTTTTTCAATAATAATAAAAAAGTATTTAAGTTTCGACAATAATAAGTATTTACTCTTGGATACATTTCCATAAGATAAAATTTCTTTCTTTAATATTTTTCGAAGTATTGTATTATTCTTTAAGTTATTGAGTATTCTTTAAATTTTTAATATTTTTTATAATTTTTTGAATCCTAATTAAATGCGAAGTTATTGAATTTTAAAACCTGGGAATTTTTCTAGTAAAAAACAAAGAAAATTCCCGAATTTGATATCATATTAATAATATTAATTGATCATAAAAAAATCTTTATCAATAAAATTTTATATAAGACTATACATAGTTTTGTTGAGTTAGTTGACAGCGCACCCCAACGTGACATATATAAAAAAACTCAAATTTCATCTTACGTTCCGTGCTTTATTAAGAAGAGAAACTTAATTATATTGTTTATATACCTTACATTACGCACTTAGCCAATCTACGTTACGCATTACGACTTTATAAGATAAATCAATAATTGTACTCAGAAAATAGTATATTTATTGATATTTGTTTGTTATCCCACGTTATGATAAATTTGGTTGGTTAATTTTATTTATCACATGTGTTTGGTGTCATACATTCCCATCTACCATTTAAGCCTTTAAGGTGGTTCACGAAAAAATCAAATAAGCCAAAAGTGATATGCCAAACTAACTTTGTCACCTAAGTAAACTTGCTATTTTTATTATTGATTTTGGGGATAAGGTACTTAGTAAAATTTTACTAATAATTTGAATCTACTGCGCATAGAAATAATTATAAATTCGAAGAATTGAATTTTTTTGATTTTTTGGGCTTATAGGAAAGTACCTTTTATATTTTAAGAAAATCTTTGAAAATTTGTCAAAAAAATACTTAATTGGTATATGTACTGTACACATACAGTAAAATGAATAAATAATTATATTAATTATATTTTAATATTTATGACTTACCTATATACGCAGCCCAGATTCCAAAATGATAAATGACGTTTATTATAGCGATAATGCCGATCTTATCCCGAATTGCCAATTAAGCAATTTTGTGATTTTTGCTGCGCCACAATGAGCGACACACGTTACCGGATGTACAAAGTTTGTTTTTCATACATGCAGTGCGCACAATGCATTTTGTATACCTAAATAACTAATAAAAGCGTTTAATAAAAAAAACTCCATTTTCTTTTCAGTTAGGGAGAATGGCTTACAGTAATGATAAAGGTAAAAAGCATGTAGCATAAATACTACTTAATACAAACTAGAATTATTCTAAAATTTTTAAACAAATTGCAATAAGTTTCAAGTACTAGCATTAAGAAATATGAAGGTAATTTTAATATACTAAACAAGTTGAAATTAAAATTTTGTTTTAAAAATGCTATCTATTATTTATACCTTACACATAATTTAAACTAATTATATTATACAAATGTTATATTAAATAATTTAGCTCGTAAGTTAATAGGTTACCTCAATAATTGAATTTAATGAAATTACTTATTTTCGGTATATTCCATATAACTAAATAATAATTCATTTAATGATTAATAATACTATAGTCTGTAAGTTATCAGTTATTTCATTACTTTATTTATTTTACATAATATTAAAATAATTAAAATCATCTCTGTTTAAATAACTTATTTATAATTAATTATATTTACAGATGGTAAGTTACAATGCTTATAAAAATTATATTTGTTTGTTTTTGATGTTTTGTATAACTCAACTAATTATATTCTTTATTCAAATAACTAGATTGTAAGTGATGTATTTAATTTACAGTAAATACTTTATTATATTTATATTTAACTAATTAATAATTAATAATACTGCAGGGTGTAAGTTATGTGCTATCTATATTTCTACTATTTATATAATTTAAGCTAACTAAACTAGATTATTTTGTAATTTCTTTAGTTAGTAAGTTATAAGTTATTTATTTAATTCTATTATTACATATTTATATAACCATATATATAACATTTAAACTAACTAAATTCTTTATTTAAAAAAATTTTTGTAATTTATTTTAGATTGTAAGTTATAATTTATATAATATTTACATATAATTTAAACGCTAAATTATTTATTTAAAAAATTATTTTGTAATTTTTTTTTTAGATGGTAAATTATAAGTTATTCATTTAACTCTATTATTAGTATATATTTATATAATATTGACAAACTAAATTCTTTATTTAAAAAATTATTAAATAATATAGAAAGTAAGTTATTTATTTAATTCTATTACATATTTATATAAGGGTGAATTTATTCCTCACCCCGGGTGAGATTTAATATTCTTCACCCCTAAAAATTTTTTTATTTTTTGTTATGTATTTATATGCGTTTTATAATATATTATATATATAAAAAAAAATAAAGTTATATTTATTGTATGCCAAATATATACATATCGTTGATCAATCTTTATTGTTTGATTTCGCCAAATAAACGTAACAATTGAATTGTATCGCACTACTACTAAACAAAATACAAAATAATCTTCGCTATAAACATGTGATTATGTAAAGTTCATTATTGTTTTGAACAAGTATTACGATAATGACCGTTTTCTCCACATAAACCACACTTACGACCTTTATCACCAGAAATTGCTTGTTCACTCCCATTTTTGACTTTATTTGAACCTGATTTTTCAAAAGATGATTTTAACCGCTTCGTTGCGGGTCTACCCTTTGGTTGATGCTTTAACGGATCCATTATTTGATTAGAATCAACCAATACTCCCCTTGTATTATGAAAAACTCGATTATCATTTGCAATCATTTTTCTTCTTGCTAAATCTTCTTGTTGTCTAATTGATTCCGCTTGAATTAATTGAGCTTCCCTTCTTTTGTTATATTCTCTTATAAAC